ATATATATATATATATATATATATACTTACCATCCTGTTAAATTTCTTCAACGTCCACATAGCCTCCGTAAAATTGCACTTATTAACAATATAATAATGAGCAGCTTTGTCAATAAATTCCTCATCGTAGACATTAAAGTTATCGTGCTTAAAACAATTAACAATTTTACTCAAAGTAATTTCAACATCGCTAAAACTCATGTCCATAATATCCTTTTTCAGGACACTAAACGAGTTCACCAAAAGTCTTTCATAAGATCTTTCAAAATGTTTCATATCACAAAGTGACCAGACGATACTTTTGGCTGCATTTACTGGTAAATCTTGTCCATGAAGTGTTAAAGCACTCACGATACTCTGAATGCAGTTGGAAGGCATCGCAAACTTTGAAGCAAATTGTAAATAGTCTAGTAATTCATTTACATTTTCATGATTTACAACTTTTTGTATTTGTAATTGGAATACTAAAGGAAAGGCTATGAGTAATGCTTCGACTAAAGGTGTGGTGTCTTTAAGTTTTCTTAACAAAAAGTCTAAGAATATAACTTGTGGTAATGTTAACTCATTCACAGAATTTCTAACTAATTGAAGTAAAGATTGTATTATTGTACTGTTGCCTGGGACGTCCATAAAAATAAGTATTTTTAGGGCTTCAACAGTATCATTGATTTCCATGCCACGACATTCTTGCTTCAGTTTTTTACACAACAATGAAAAGTTTTCGTTTTCAAGTAAATTTTGATCACTAAAAATAATAATAGAATTATGATTTGTATAAAAGTATGAATGTAGTGTAAAGTTTAGTAAAGTTTAATTACCATCCTTGTTTTTGCAAACTAAATAGTATTTTTAAAGTTTGCATTACGTGATTGCTTTTAAATTGAGGCAAATGTGGGGAAATTGTTTCTAGGACTTGTCCAGGATTTGAAGCCATTTTTAAGTCTTGGGTTACATTGTCTATACTTACTACTGTATTACGAGCACCTGAAATGTAATATAAATCCTTTATTAATTTAAGAAGGTGAATTTTTAAACTTGCAACTCTTCTGAGTTTCTCATATTTTTTGGAAATAGTGAAAACTTAAATTTGGGAATGAGGCTAGTTATATTAAAGAGAGGTCTATAAAGAAGATTTTCCAAAAATTTCAAGTAAATTGGTCTAGTAGAACTTAAAAATTTGAATTGAAAAAGCCAGTTTTGAGAAAAAGGTATTTAAAGGAAGGAAACAGAAGAAGATTATCATGGTCAAACAGCTGCATCTCCAAAAATAATTTAAATTAAAAAAATCCTCTTGTACATATATTCTTAAATAGTTAAGCCTAACTACTAACTTAATTAGTTAAAAATATGAATAAAAAAAAGCGAGTTCTGGTATTTCAACACCCTTAAGGAGAAGTTTAGTAAAACCTGCATTGTGAATTTATATTTCATTTTGCAAGTTAATAAATAATAAATCTATTACCTCTGGCTAAATTTATATGTCCCTCTGCAATTCTTATTATCCTGGTCATATGAATCTTCCTGCGATTCAAAATCAAATTTGCAAAATTCATATTTGAAAATACGCGCGTCGGAAACATCACGTCAGTCCCTGCAGATGGCAGCTAAAATGTCCTGACAGCCAGAACTGAAAATGACAGGCAAAATTTTGTAATAAATAGTAGACAATAATTAGCATAACGTAATATCAGATAGTGATTCTACAGTTTTAATTATTTGTGAGTGACAGTCGATTAATTAATATCGTAGTTAATTGTGCAATTGATTAAAAGATGAGCGACATGGAATTGAGCGATGGTAATAGTTCACAGCAGAGCAGAATCGAAAAATTAGGCTTTAAACCCCAGAAAGAAATAATTTATAACAGACTTTTACCTTATTGGGATGAATTGGACGATGAATCGCAGGTATTATTAAGTGACATCAAGGAAAACTTGGCTAAGGCGATACTTAACCGTGAAATGCGGCCAGGGGTCTGTGTATGGACATCTCGATTGATTAGGTAAATAATTAACACCACAATAAATGCACAATTATATTCATTTAATATGTAAGCGAAATGCCTAATTATATAACTTATATTTTACATAACAAATATTAAATTAAATGTTGTACATGCAAGGCTTTTTGCCAAAAGTGCATGGTTAACCTTAAATCCTGAAGATGGCATTTTTAGGAACGGCGCCAAATTTGAATTCAAAAAAATTCGAATTTGAACTGCGGAAATCGATTTTGCGCGGTAAAGGATGATTGTAATTGATAATTGTAAAATTCCGGTAATTCTACAAGAAATACAAACAGTAACAGAAGATAAATATAAGACTAATATAGGAAATATAAGATCTGTGTACTATATTTAGAAGAAATGCAAACTTTAAAGAATACAAATGTAGAAATAACTACTACCTTAAGGCAAATTGCTGTAACTTCCCATACTGTAATTAAATATTTGAGGAATCTAAATAGCTAAATCTCAATTTTTTAACTTTTATCTTGACTTAAGAACACCTAGTTCATCATGTTAATGCTTTTTTTAGTGCTAAAATTTATTATTGATTGTTAATGTTTCTGCTATAACAATGCTCTGTTTATTATTTACTTTTCAGATACATTAAAATATATGGATTGAAATTTTCCAAAGAGGATCATGTTGCTTTCATTCATTTGATATTCGAGCTGTGCACGATACCGAAATTAGATCCTACAAAAATTTCAAAGTTCAGTACTCTTCTTACCATGTTATTAAAGTGAGTAATAAAGAAATATTTATAATATATAAATGCTATCATATGATGTGTGATATAATAATAATAATATTTTTATAGAAAAAGAAAAACGTTATCGAGAAACGATTTAGTTTTACCATGGAGGCCTTTGTATAATTTATACTATGATGTTTTAATTAAATCTGGTGATGAACGACAAATGTACAGATATTTCTCGTAAGTAACTTGTACTTGTCTCAAGTATGTATGCGTGTACAAATGCGTGTATGATTTAATAACTATTAATTTATTTACAAGCAGCAAATTATACTAGCAAGTTCAGGAAGTTTCAAGTATTATGTAAGTTTGTTGTTTATTATAA